AAGAAGTTAAAACTCTCAAAGAAACAAATTATTATAATAATTAACTCTGTGGGCATAGTAGTTTCAGTTTCTGTAGTCCAGGGTTCCCCAAAGTGGTCAATATCAACCTCCTAGCGTCAATGAAACTATCCATTTTGCTGCTGCTGTTGTTATTTGTAGTACTATTAGTTAAAGTAGTATTTATTAAATTATTTTCACATAATAAATGTTTGGGTGTCAATGAACAATCTTAATCTTCATGAAGAGGTCAATGAGCTGAAGAGTTTGGGGACCTCTGCTCTACTCCCTCAGGTGATGTGCATAAATGACACAGAGTAGTACCCCATAGTGTTAGGTAACCTGATCTGTCTGAATGTGTGGATTTCAGAAAGTCACATGTTTGTGAGATGGGCAGCTATATAAATGTGCTAAATAAATAAATAAATACAAATGTCTGCTGTGAATGGCAGAGTACACTCAGAATGTACATAATATCTAATATCTCCAATAGCAATATCAGATAGCAAGACTTATTGAAGCATTGCCAGATGCTGGACAAAACTAGATTAGGTTGTCCGATAAAGTAATTCCATATAAGGCAATGTCATACTTTCTTTCGTTCTTCTGCAGCTTCATCAGCCATCCATTCAATCTTAGTCAAGACGAGCAAATGACCTCAATGGATACGAAAGAGACCATTTAGAATTTCCATTCCATTTAAGAGCTCTTCCTTCTCCCTGTATGCATTGTCAGACCACTGAGTTTATGGAACTTCCCTGAATATGGATGCTATAACCAGGAAAAAGGAAAAGAAGTAGCATACAGCAAATAAATTAACAAACATAACTTAATTTTTTAAAACTCTTAGTCAATGAATGACAAAATAATGTTTTATTTCTAATCTGTTAAGGAAAATAACTACACACATAAGTCAGCAATCACATTTATGAGCTGTTCCATCTCCATCCCATTAATTATTTTTGGCAGATCTTTGAACAGGAATACTAGACTATCCATAAGTGGAAAAGTAATTTGCATTTGTTCTTAAAGAATAAACATTCATTTTATCAAAGAAGTGACTCTCATGAAGTTTTTTCTGTGTTGTCAAATGACTCATTTCATTTGACTTTCTTCTGCTTGACACCTTTTTAGGTACTTGAAGAATTCTAGCTTCCAAAAACCTTTTCTCCACCTTTTCTCCAAAGTCTCTCAGATTCTCATAAAATTAGTTTTCATTCACCTGATCATTTTCCTTTCTTTTCTCTGAACCTATCTCAGTTCTTTGAATCTTTCTTAAAAGTAATACCTAGAGTTGGAGATAGTACTTGAGGTAGAATCTGACAAATTCAAAATATAAAAGAACTATTTATTTCCCATGATTTGGAAACTACATTTCTATTAATGAAGTCTAAAATTGCATTTTTATGTGTGGCTTGTTTTACTACTGACTCATATTCTGCTGGTGATCTACCATTTCAAAATCTTGTTTTTATGTAATATTACCAACCCCCAATCATCCCCCATCCTTTAACTGTGCATTTATTTTTTCTAAGTGAAAAACTTTTATTTTTATTAATTTTTATTCTTTTATTTGTACCCATTTCCCTAATTCATCAAGATCCTTTTGAATCTTATTTCTATCTTCTAGTGTAATAAAATGTTAGAAGACAGTGAGACTATTGCCAGCTTTGTATCATTTGCAAATATCATAAGCATTTCCTCCTCTTCTTTATCCAAGTTATTCATGAAAGAATTCATTCATTAAAGAATACAGAGCCAAGAATGGAACCCTGTAATATTGTATTTGAAACCTTCCTTCATTTTGACAATAAAACTTAATGTGCACTTTGATTATGATTTTCAAGCCAGGTGTGAATCCACTTAATAGACAAACCATCCAGCCCATATTTTAGCTTTCTAACAGATTATTGAGTATTTTGTCAAAAGCTTTTCTAAAGTCAAATATCTATGGCATCCCTACCATCTGCTAAGAAAACTGTCCACTCAAAAATGAAATGAAATAATGTTGGTCTGGCAAATCCATGCTAGGGTCCAACTTCCCCGTTTGAAGTAAGAGCGCACAGGCCAGAATTCAGACCTTCTCTGTAGTAGTCCCAATGTTATGAACTGCACTGCAATTTGACATGTGTTTGGACCCCTCA